GTTTATTATTAATAGATGACTCGGATTCAACACCCGCGGAACAGAAAGGGAAAAAGAGTGGGAGGGAATGGGGGAAGGGAGAGAAAAGGAGAGAGTTCTCGTGCGCGTTGCCGGCGTTATTTCGAGGTTAGTCTGTATCCGCGTTTTTGAGCCGCGCGTTTTATTTCCTCTTACCAGCGAACAGCGCGAGTCGCGCGGCACCTCCCCTCCCCTCCCCCGGGCTGTACCGAGCCGCCATCCCGCTCCCTCCCATCCCCCTCGCAACCCTCGCTCGCTGGCCGCCGTTTCCCTTTTGCCTCTGTCCTCCCCTCGTCGCACCGCATGCCGCTCTCTCCCTTCACCCGACCCTCTCTGCCGCCTCTTAAAAACGAGACTTGCCGCCGACTTTCCGACAAAGGAATAAAGAAAAGAAACAACTAGCCATGCTACGCGGCTGAGGATGGCACGGCAAACCGTACCGCAACGCGGCGCGGTGCGGCGCAGCGCAGCACGCCGTAGCATAGCGGGTAGAGAGAGCCTTTCTGTATAGAGAGTGCGAGGGGGATGCTTCGAGCCGACCGACCGACCGACCGACCGGCCGGCCGGCCGTCCAGTGGCGCCGACGTCCGGGGGCTCTTACTCTACGAAATAGAAAATTCCGAACGGCGGAAATGCGCCGTGTTTACTCGAGTCTTTCTCTCTCGGTCGATCTCTGTCTCTTTCTCAGAGAGATGCCACGCTGCATCCGCAACAGGGATTCTGTCGTTATTCGATCTCGCCATTACGCCGGTCGGGTCTGTACAAACCATTTTCAAACACGACAACTCTGCGGGTATTCCTCTCGATACGTTGCAAATTTCACGGTTTTTAACGTAAAAGAGCAAGAGAATAATAATACATTTGAATAGAGATTAAGCCGAGATTAAATGAATGAAACAATGAATTTTAATGTAGAAAATTACATCTAGAAATACACAAGAAAAAAATTTCTGAAATGGAAAAATTTTTAAGTTTACTTAATATTCGAGGTTAATAATATAGGTTTTTTTAAATTCAAAGTTTAAGTTGTACACTTGTAATCACGCATAATCATGTTGCTTATTTGTCAACGAAATTAATTTCCTTCACAAAAAATGTAATAAAAAAAGAACAGGAATATTTGAAAACAAGTAAAACAAGTAAACGCGAGACACGTGATACTTTGCTTTGTTAAAGATTCGTTTGTTTTGTTTTTTGAAATCACATTAAACGCCATAGAAAACGTGAGAAGGGATTGACGAGGGGCTATGTAAAAGCATAGAGGTGTCGGTAGGTATATATGTATCTCGCGACGTATAATATTTAATTTCGCGCTTACGCGATCGGAGCGCGGGACGCCGCATACAAAGGGAGCCCGTCGTGTTTTTGTCCAAGTTAATTGTTTCTCTTCTCTTTTTTTATTTCGATCGAGCGTGCTGCCAACAGTAGCGCACGGCAATGGTTAGGACGATGGATGGAGAAAGATAGACGAGGGATGTGGACGGTAATCACGTGTATAGAAAGGAATACGTCCGAAACGCTAAGCTCCGAGAAAACTCCTTTGGTGCGGCGACGCCTATGTTTCTTCTGAAACACCGCTAGGAGATAATAGCGTGCGGGTACAGTCTCCAAAAAGAGTATCTCCGATTTGACACGGACGAACTTTATACCGAGTGGTGCTGCGCAGCACCACTCGGACGAGCATAGCCTCGGTGAAGCGATGTAAATAAAGAGCGTCTCTCTCTCGACGAAAAGAAGAATGCAAAATCGGAGCGCGTTTCTCTAATTTGCTTGTCACCCTTTGTTCCCTTCTCCCCACCCACCCACTCACCGCCCCAATTCGTTCTTTCTCTCTCCTCCCATCGTCGTCTTTCATCTCTCCCCGTTTGACTCGTGATTCATTGAAGCGTCGAAACAACACAACCGCGCGTTTGTGAACGATGACGTGCGTGTCGTCGACGTAAACATCGAAGTGATCTCAATGACGAGGGTATCGATTCCTTCAATAGAAATGAACCGGAAGTTCAGGATTTCCTTCTTCCTTTTTTTAATAACAATCGCGAGATTAAGTTTCTTTACGCGTAATGTTACACACTTGGGAGGAGTGGGGGGAGGAGAGGCGAGGGGATGATGCTTATTTATTACGCAAATATATGCGAAGGGTAGAAAGAAAAATAACAAATTATACCGATCCTTGACTACTGGAGTTAAATTTGGGTTATTACTATAACGTGTGATTTTTTTTTATTATAATTCTGATCAATTTTCGATCCCGAGTAGTAAATAGTATCATATTTTATATCGGAAAATATATCCAATTTATTTCTCATTTTATTTTTCGCCACTGTAGTTGGTGAAAAAATTATCAAGTATTGTACGACATTGTAACAAATGAAACAATCACTTAAAAAGAATATTTCTTTAATATTTTACAAGATATTTATATAAAAAAAATTTGATTTGTGGATCCAGGGAAAGAGAACTCTGTTTCCAATTAGGATTAATAAATTTGATGTAATAACTTCAATTAGTGATAATTATGTCAATGAGAAATTATGATGACGTAATTCATATATAGTGACTAAAATTTTTAATTCACAGAGATAGTCAAAGATCGACTTGCTGCGGCATGTCTCTTGAAAATGCGACATCGAGCGCAATAAATCAACGAGTTTGACGAGCGAGGCTTTCGGCTTTCGGCAACTTTAGTTCGGAACACCGGAAGATAACGGGGAAAGCCGTTGTCACTCAGCGATTGTGACGAAATTTGCGTTAATCTTCGAGACTGACGGCGCCAGACGTCGGCGTCGGCTCTTGTTGGCACCAAAACTCGGAGTAACCGCGTGAAGTTAATCCTTCCTCATCGTTAAGGCCGTCTCGCGCTATCTATAATCGAATTGCGTTATACTTCTAAGTGAATATTATATTTTTTTTTTTAGAGAAAAATCTTTTATAATATATAAATAAAAATTTTAAAAATTACGAATATCCTGTCGAATGAAAATTCTAATTCATTACACATATTTACTTGATTATTCTCGGTATGAAAATAAAGAAATTACTCTTGTATTTTTATATAAGGCATACAAGTTTGAAAAATACATTCCATATGACGTGTGTATCTCCGTAATTACGTATGGCCAGAGTACTGTTACAGTTCTGGGTCGTGTAAACGGGGCTTCATATCGAGATTCTCTCCCCGTAGGAAGACTCTGCGGTGCTGGGATCTTCGATGAACGGGTATGCAAAGGAGAAAGAGAAAATAAGAGAAGAGAAGAGAAGAGAAGAGGAGAGTAGGTAGGTAGAGGTTGAAGAGCTGTGCCGCGCCTCCTATCTTCAGGGTCCGTGTATCCTCGGCTCGGCACTGAGCGACGACGAGCCGAGGAATACAGGCTTGCCTGTCTGCCTGCTCGCTTGCCCGCTTGCTTGCCCGCTTGCTTGCCCGCTTGCCTAGTCGGCTGGTATGGTGGTGGCTGCTGCGACGCGATGGTGCCGTGCCGACAATGACAGTGGTAGTGGTGGTATGGCGCGCGGGTAGGTAGGGGAATCACGGAGAACGTGCTTTTAGGCGAGGACGAGCGCCCGTAGTCGTGTCCGAACCGCGAGACGGCTAAGTTTGTAGCTGCGAGAGAAGGAAGAGGAGGAGAAGCGGTGGTGGTGGTGGTGGAGGAGGAGGATTTCCGTACCTCGCGCTTCGTTTCACCTCGATGCGCGAGTGACAAAAACGCACGGTCCTTTCGGCAGTGTCGCGCGACGTTTTCGAGCGAGTGATGTGAGATTGTCACGTTCATACGTTCGTTCGTTCGTTCGTTGGCTCGCTCGCATGTACATTTATCTGTCAGATTTGTTTGGCGGAGTCCGTCACGAGCACGTGTGTACAGTGTGCGTCGGCGTCGGCGTCGGTGACGACGGCGACGACGACGACGACGACGACGACGACGGCAGCAACGGTCCTATGTACTCGCTCGGAATTTCAATGGTGCGTACATAAGGGCGACCCTGGAGTGTGTATTCGTGCCCCTCGTATGATTTCCGGATCACCACCGGATGACAGATCGACGAGGTGCGCGGGGTGTGGGGCGGATTGTTGTCACGAGGAGCTACGCCTAACCGGAAGTACCTGGGGGAGAGCAATACGGAAAACTCGCATGCATCCAGGACGGCGTGTCGGTAGTTACGAAGGAAGAACAAAGTGTGCCGCCGGCCCGAGAGCGGGGAGTAAAGTGTAGAGGGATCACGACGATCGCCCGCACTCACTCACGCACCCATCACGCACGCACGCACGACGCACGCACGTATGCACGCACGCACGCACGCACGCACGTACGCATGCACGCACGCATGAAGGTTCCATGGCTACCGGATTGGTAAAGTGGTGGCGAGCAAGGTTCCTCGCTGGCTACAGACCCTTTTCTGGTAATGATCTCGCCTTCCTTTCAAAACACGCGCGATATTGAGACTCGTGCTCCGTTCGGATCGACCATGAAAAGGGAAAAGAATGTTCGACACGCTCATTTAAATTCCCTGCTGGTGTCGATTAATAATAGTTTTTGAACGAATTTTTAATAAATCTTTAACGAGCTATTGTAAACAATTTACAGTCTTCATGTCTTTACGTGTTCATGTCTTTTTTATTTTATTTATTTATTTATTCAAAAAGTAAATGTCTCATATGAAGATGAATTAATTGTGTATCTTTATTTAATTAAATTTAACCTTTTTCTGAACGTAATAATCAACGTGACATATCGTAATACATTATTTATCAACTTTGTTTTATTTTTATCAACTTTGTTAACGCCAAAAGTAGAATTAAAGAATTTTATATATAACAGATTTGCAGAAAATATAAAAATTCTTGGACCCACATTTAATTTAGATATTAAAATGCCGGTTATTTTAATTTACTTATCTTTTCACAAAAGGTGGTTTCCTATTAATTTTAAGATTATACTCGATATTTTTTGAAGTCCGAGATAATCCGAGGAAAACTCGTTTATTTGCTTTTCTAACATTTTCTTATCAAGTGCATTCTTAGAAAACAGGTTTTAGAAATGTAAAAAAAAGATTTTGAAAATTAATTATTTCATTTTAAACGCGATATAATTTCTTCCGTTTGAAAAATCATTAAAATTCCATCCGTTGGAAAAATCATTAAAATTCTTTTCAGAAGATGATGTTATGAAGATGGTATGTTTTTCGTCGGAAATTTTAAGTAAGTTTCATCCAGATCGAATTATGGCATTCGGATACCTGAGAGACCTGGTTAAAAAGTGGCGGAGGGTAGTAAAGGAGATTTCGAAGAAAAAAAGAATGCAGACGAGCACAGCGGTGGCGTCTGTATTCTTACAATCAATCGTCTCGTCGCAAAAGAATGACCGTCGTCAGTGCTGGATAATGCCAAGATATTATCGAGGTGGATACCACGTGGTCTTACGTCATACTTACACTTTTCTTGGCTTTCGGCCTGTCTATAGTCTACATGCTTGTCTCGTAACGCGTCGTTGAAGATAGCGCGGAAATTGCGGTGCGTGTATTTAGCGACAAAACAAAATTGCTCCAAGTTCTTACGTCTTTCCGATTTCTCGACACGAGTTTGACGAGTCTCCTCAAAACTGCAAAATCATTGTTAATACATACTTTATATAATTATTAACTTTCCCGACTGACTCTAACAACATATGCGAAAAAATGTGAAGACATCAAGTGTTTTACGAAACTTTACTTGGCAATATCTATCTTTTAATATATTTTAATAATTATATTTTTATTATATTTTTTATTTGCTCATCATATCGTGAATCTGAAAAAATTTTCGAAATACGCCTACGAGTCTCAATATCGTTCATCATTTAAATAGATAACAATTGCGTGCCGAAATAGTTATTAAAATTATTCACTCAACGTGAATTTATTAGAATAAGTTAAAGAGAGAAAATATTGTTAAAGAGAGAAAATATGTGCAAGTCCAATTGTTAAGAATAAGATGTAAATAATGGTGATATTAGAAATTAAAAAGTTGGAAAAGTAGTGAATTAACACATCCATGCTGCGTTGTATATTTGTGCATGTGCATTTGCATATTGCACGTGTATATTTTTCAATTCGGAAAGATTAACTAACGATTACGTGTCAAGTTGCAACTTCCGAGAACAATGTACCGCGGATGTTTCGTCAGTTTTCGCGCGTGGTAGTCCCGGGTATCAAATGTCGGAGGTAGATTTGTGCACACCTCTTACGCACACGAGTCATGCGTATGTACGCGCGAGACCACATGTACGTGTCTCTCTGCCGCTGTTGAGTCCGAGTTTAACAGCCGCGTCTATCGCACATCCGCGCTCTGTGCCCGTTAGGTAGGACGCGTTTACGGCCCATTACACAATGGTTGACGATAAAACCGAAGCCTGCGATTCAGAACGTAAAAGCCGAGAGATGCCATTCAAAGGGGGCGTACGCGAATTTAGAAAACGAATGGTTTTCGACATTTTCTGTTCTTCTCTTTCCGTGTTCGTTTTTTTTTTTTTTTTTTTTTTTTTTTTTTTATTTTTTTTTAAACTATCGCGCGATGATCGCTCGCGGCGCGATATTGTCAAGAATTGAAAGACACGAATTTTCTCTGTAACAGTCCTTGAAAAATAATAGATTCGCTTGAAAAGAGAAAAATCGAGTCTTCGTGGAAAAGCAAGTAAAAATATAGGTTTTCTCACGTGACATTTTCAAGAAGAAAAAGAGAAAAAAGAAAACGATGATCGTGGAAAGTTTAGAATAATGATTGTTTCAGTCCAGTTTCGATGACACGTAAACGTGGAAATCGTTTTTTTTTTTTGCGAATGCCGAGATCTCCGAGATATTATGAGAGAACCGAGGTTCGACGGTTCTGCTTAGAGAATTCCAGCTGCTTCCCCGGTTATACCAGTCGCCGAAAGGTTTTCTCCCCGGCGGGACGCGCCGTCGGCGCGGGGAAGCATAAAAATACCGCCTGTACACCAAACACGCCACCGGTCGCGGATGCCGCGCGCGGCGTGTGTTAAAATGCCGCCTTTTATTCGCTCGTCTGCCTCTCTCGCTCGAGGGCAGAAATCGCGATCGTGCGCGACGGGAAAGCGAGCGAGCGACCGGAGAGCGGCTTTCCGATCGCGTTCCCGGCTCGCGCCGCGCCCAGCAATCGCGCGTTTGCGCGTCGACATATAATAAAACGAGAAATACATAATGCGCCCTTACGAAATATAGAAAAACACAAACGTAAGCAATCTAATCTCATCTCTCTTTCCCTTTCGAAGAAAGATCGCATAGATCAAAGTCTTGTTTGGTAGTCTCTTCGAATAACGAAACTTCCTTGTTATCTGTTCAGTCGTAGGGACCAATACGGAAGGTAGCGATTCCGAAGAGTTGCTGACGGGCGTTCCAGCGACCTGCAACGTCTCGCCACCACCGACGACGACGGAGTCGCAACCGATTTTAATTTCCCCCGCGGAGTCGCCGCAGGTCGCGACTGATGGCTCGAGCGTGCCTGCAGGACCTACCGGTAATGATGAACAGCCTACTTGCGGTACAACGAAACAGCTTAGTTTCGAGGTGAAATACTTTGATTTATGTACTTATCTTAGGTAGGAAAGCTACTTTTGCTAGCGAACACGGCGTCGCGCACGTTGATCAAATGAACGTTCAAATGAACTTTCCATCAAAATTTGTAATTTGCTTTCTGTCAACTTTTGCAAGTACTATTCAGCAATTTATATTCAGCAGTTAATATTACATTTATTATATTATATTTTTTAATTCGCGGTGTAAATATTTCTGCAGCAATTGTTTCATCTGGCATTTTTTCCTTTGAAATTCCGATTTCGTGATATTAAACAAAAGAGAAATGTATAATATCTTTTAAGCGCATAAAATATTCGCTCGTTATCAAGATTTCCTTTTCGACACGACTCAATGTGTGTTACTCGTATTTATCAGAGTCGTGTACTCGAGTTTTTTTTTTTTTTTTTTATCCAAACGATCCTGTTCTCGTTGCAGGAATTCGAGTGCGACGTGTCGGTCGCGGAGGGCGACCGGCGGCGGCAAGAGTTCTCCTTCACTCTGTACGACTTTGACGGACATGGGAAGATCACCAAGGACGACATAGCCGGTCTGGTGACCACCATCTACGACACGTTAGGCGCCTCTATCCAAGTACCGCCGTGCGGCAGCAAGACGATTAAGGTGAAACTGACGGTGTCGCCGGATCAGCGGGCCAGCAGCAGCAGCAGCCAGGCGCCGCGCAATGCCGCCGGCACCTGCCTAAATGCCACGCAGACGCCGCAGGCTGCGACGTCGCCCGGCGGTCACCAGCACAACTCGTCGTCCTGCTGCCATTTGAAGCACGCCGCCTCGTGCAGCCACGCGGCGACGACAACCGCCGCCACCGCAGCCGCTGCCGCTGCCGCTACCACTACCGCTCGGAATGGTGCGAGCAGAGTTCCTAGAAGGAGAAGAGCAACGCGGTATCGTTGTCAGGTGAGACCTACATTCCTCGTGTGAACTACGTTGCGTATATACGTCGGCGGCGACGGCGGCGGCGGCGGTGGCGGCCGCCGTGGCCGGCCGTGCCGACATCCAAGCCATGCGCTCGCGATACGCGCGTCGGGATGCCAAAGAAAAATGAAGAAGTAAAAAGGGGAATGCTCTTTGCGAAGTTTTCTCTCGCGAGATTTTGGTTGTTGATATATAATTATCTATCCATCGAATCTTTATTATACTTAGAATTTATAACTTAAAGTTTTAACGATTATATTTTTAAATTAAAAATATAGTTGTAGATATTTTATAGATATCTTTACAGATTGAATCGATTGTTAATTAGATAAGGCAAAATTTTCTTTAGTATAAAATATAAAGTATAAATGATAAAACATTTACGTATTTGCGTATCTTCATAAATTATGCGCTTTGTTTAGTAGGAATACGTTTGAATTGACGTGATATTTTTGACGTCGCGCTTACATTTGTTTTATTATTTGCCATTTCAATTGCAGACTGAGCGAAAAGAAGTGGAGACTCACAGCGAGAATGACGATGAGAACGCCCGAACGAATCGAGTACAGCAGGAGGAGCTGCGTAGAAGAGTCGGTCCGGTGCCCCATTTACCATCTCCCTATTCAAACAGCTCGGAGGGTGATGTGAGTGATGATAGTGACACTTCCCCCACGTTCTCGCCATTAACGCCGCTTCTTACGGCGAATCAGAGGAAACGCAGCGGCGCTCTACAAAGACAACAATTACTGGAGATTATTCAGGCTAACATGGAAAAAAATAATCTCAGTTTTCACACATCAAGGTGAATCAATTGCAGTGATTAATTTTGCAAAAATAGTGCATATTAAATATTTCGTGTATTTTTATTTATATAATGCATAGTGGATAATTAAAATTCTTTTTTCATCGATGATCTTTGAATATCTTTTTAAATATTATTTAATTAAATTAAAATATTTAAAGCAATATCCTGTCTTGATTAAAGATTTAGAAATCTATTTTTCCGCCTGCAGGAAACGCCACCAAAACGATCAACCGCGCATTCCATCTCACAGTCCCCACTTAGAAACCACGAATCATAATAATCAGGACTGTCACACATCTCTGGAGCCTCGTCAAACAGCGACGAATTATCACAAACCAATTCGGGAGAGCACTCATCATTCCGTGTCGTTTCCTAAAACGCCGGCCAAGTCGCGATCGGCAAATCTGAGGAAAACGCGGCACGCGACGCCGAGGACATATTCGCAGTTGCTGAATCGTAACGTGCTCGCATCAACGACGGTCTACAACGAGACCGCGCAACATACAACCAACAGCAACAACGTGACGCATTCCTCTCCGAACTATACGTCGTATTCGCAGTTGTTTAATCGTAACGTACTCGCACCGACAACGGTCTACAACGACACGCCACAACATACCACTAGCAGCAACAACACTCATCGCAATATTGTTAATCTCGTGCCTAACAACAATCAGCAAACGGTCAATCACCAAACGATCACCAACAATCATAGCAACATACAGCGCAACGATGCGCAATTCGCTCATATGCAACAGTGCGGTAGAGCGAGCAAGAAGCATCAGTTGAAACACGCCACGCGGGAGCAGGATCAGGCTCGAGCCATGGCGCAGGTTGTGCGTTGGCTCGAACGTGAATTTTCGCAGAACGCAGTGGCAGCCACGTCTAGCCGAAGACACGTCCACGAGCACATACATCATCACTATCATCATTATCACAACGAGGCTTTGGTTTAATTAGCAGTCGTAATTCGAAGTCTCCAATCTTTTCGCTTTAGAAATCTTTACAATATCAATGAAATTGAATTTTAGAAGGGATTTCTCGATGTGTAATTTGTATCTATGTTACTATTATTTTGACGTCAGGAAAACGACTTAGCGTTTCACGTCGTGAATGATGCTTTTTTCAAATTGTATCGCGAGAGCTCGATCTGGTGTGTTTTGTTTTTGGGCTCTCGTATATACATGCCGTATTGATTATTTTAGGAAATCATTTTTGTATTTTGAATTATTCATAAAATTTCCTTTGTCTTCGTGAACAAGGCGAACTGTTACTACGTTCGTTCGATTATTTATCTATTTGTAACGATTGACGATGATGAATAATTCATGTATTTTTATTCACTTAAGCAACCGAGTTTTCCTCGGTTATTAAAAAATGTAGTATTTTTGCATGTCATCTTTTTTATAAATTTTTAAGTTAATTGAGAGTAGGCAAGACACAATCTCTCCGTTTACTAACGGCACTTTTTTTAAAAAAAGGATTTGTGAAAGACATATGTTTAATATAAATTAATTTGTGCAGGTCGTTTTAAGCAGAGACATAGTTACTATGAATCTCAGGCTTATGAACATGTCACTATGAAAAAGACGAAACATCACCTGATTAGAATTGCAGTTTAATGACAAAATATGTATACTACATTTGCGATCATATTCTTCGGAATTGAAAAATCATACATAGACTGTTGTATGCTATAGGACAAAATTACATTTTTGGGCGGAAAGAAGAAGAATGCAATCGCTCTTTCTCGAGCGCGATAAAACTATTCATCGTTGTACATAGAAAAATATCCCAAAGAGAATTTTTTCAGTATACAAGCGTTACGATTAAGAGTAAAAATCTAAAGTCGTAACGGAGAAAGCGAAGCGTTCGAAACACGAAGACTCTGCTACGAATGTTCCTGTATAACCGGAGGGTTATGTAATAATTTTTTTTACCAAACGTAGTATTCCTAAACGAACGCGATTTTGATGGTGCTTGTATACCCGTACATTCGAGCAAACGCACAATTTCGGTAAATAAATGCTTGAATCTCTCGTATACAGGGCGTTTCACTTCTATCGATTCATATTTCAATAATGGATTTCTCGATCATTTAAAGTGAATTTTTCTCTAAAAATTCGGGATATTAATAAAAGAAAAAAAATAATTATAAAGGAGTAATTTAAGCTTTAAAAAAGGAGATG